GTCGGTGAAAAAGGGTCGGTCTTGGCTTCGGTGAGCAAAAGAGCCCTGCACCAAGAACTCAAGTCCGCCTTAGAACTGTTTAGGGGTTTAGGGTTTAGGGATTTAGGGTTTAGGGTTTAGGGTTTATTACGGTTTTGGGGTTTAGGGCTTAGGGTTTACAGGTTGAGGGTTTATTAGGGTTTATTAGGGTTTATTGGGTTTATTAGGGTTTATCAGGGGTTATTCGGGTTTGTAAGTTTAGGGTTTATGGTTTATTTTGGTTTTAGGGTTTAGGGTTTATTAGGGTTTTTAGGAATTTAGGGTTTAGGGTTTATAAGTTTATTTTACAGCTGCTCAGGTGCTGCGCACGGCGCAGAAGACAGCTCCCGGCTCTTCCGCAGGCTGGGAGCAAACCAGCTACCTGATTCTGGGCACCAAGCCGAGGGTGGAAGGCCGGAAGCATCGCAGCTTTAGGTTCTTGTAGAGTCATGCTAGCGTTTTTTTAAGGGTCCTCGGACCTTATTTTTTTTTTGGCTTCTTCTGGAGTGAAGGAAGGCGGGTTCAGGGTTCCAGGGTTAGGGGTTATGGCTTCAGGGCCTACAGCCCGAAATTTTAGGGTCTCTTCTCTCGCTCTTTGCAGGTTTAAGGTTTCGGGTTGGGGGCTGTTTAGAGCCCTTGGGGCCTTTCGATGCTTGGGCTTTAAGGTCCAGAGTTTAGGGCTTGAGGTTTCGGGCTTCAGTGTGCTTGGGCTTTAGGATTTCGGGTCTTGGGGGTTGCGGATCTTAAGCAACGCAAACCGTAAAGCCTAAACCCTGCGAGCGGTAGCTTGCAGAAGCCGTCTAGCCCGAGCTTGTAGAGGATCGCTTTGCCGAATGCAGAATAGGCAGTAACAATGGGAGGCAGTGTATGGCTCCTAACTAACTGCGCGCCTGCAGGTCGCGGCACTGTTGATCCTGCGTAGCTGCAGCCATTCGTCTGTCGATGACCAGCACTGCCTGCGTGAGCGACAGATAAGTGAAACTTGCATGCCCGGGTTACCCCTCCGGACTTCTAATTTGGAACTTCTAACTTACCGATTCCTTCATCAGACCAGGGTTTTGAGCAAGTGGTAGTAGGTTGAGTTCTCGTCGTCGTCGGGCTGACATCATCTGCTCATCTTCCACGATGCGCCACCGGAAGGCCATCTTGTAGAACATCTCAAGTTCGTGATGTCCCCCTTGCTTCGTGAGACTGTTCGCTAGCTGAGCTTCTGAGTGGACCCAGCGTATGCTGACATCCGTCCTCCGCTGTGCTTCTTTGAGCCCGAAGTGCTCGATGCTTGTCCGCTTTTCTGCCCCTTTGATCACCAAGACTTCGTCGTGCATCAACAGCCCTGGCGGAAGTCCTTGACTGGCCTCCACGAAGCGGTCGGTGTCGTCCGCGCCACGACCAATGACCTGCTGAGCTGGTGTGAAACCGCTAACCATGTCTCGATGATTAAAAGTAGTGATCGCTTCCGACAATGCCATCTCCGGGGTCAACTCGGGGTCAAAGTCGCACAACCGAGTCATCAGTTCTTTCACGCCTTGAATGGCTTGCTCACACGTTCCGTTTTTCCAATGCGCTTCTCCTGGTATAACATCTAGATATACGCCATGTTTATCACAGTAAGCATCCAAAATTTGGCGCCCTCTGAAGACTCCGGTGGGATCCACGCGCAATGCTCGGGGATAGCCAAAATACTGGCTCCAGCCTTCCTGAAGATAATGAATACACGCATTGGCCGACGGTTGTTGCTTGGAACCCTTGCTCAAAATCCGGGCTACTCTGTATCTTGAGCACTCATCAATTATCAGCGTGAACTGCGCGAGCTCTGCTTTATGTGGTTCCCAGTGGCCCCCATCGGCACTGAACGTACAGTATTTCGGGGGAAGAGGCTCGAGGGTCGCTTGGGCTCCAGGGGGAGGTTTGCTTCTCTCTTCACACGTAGGACACTTGAAGGTTTCAGCCAATTCCAGCACTCTAGGTGGGGCTCTTCTACGCTTAAGGGCCTCGATGAGATGCTTCAGGCTTCCATGTCCCGAAGCGCAATGCAACAGATGAAGTTGCCTCTTGATTCGTTCATCTTCTTTTCTTTGGGGCCCTCGTGGGACCACTGGCCTGTCGCCTACTGCATTGGCTTCTGCCTTGCTGCTTGGGAGCTCGGGGAGGCTTGTTTGGTACCTAACAACATCAGCTGGTACATGATGCTCATTAGCTGCCAGTTCATTACTCTCAGCTTCGAGACTCCAGGCTTTTCGGGGAGGGGTCTTAAAGCCTAACTGCTTCAGTTGCTTGTGGTCCAATTCAGAAAACTCCTCAAGGGCCGAGTTAAGGCTCAAGGTGAAGGGCGTCCACATAAAGTTGTTTGGAAAGTTTTCTTCAATCATTCTGTTGATCATGCGGACAAGTTCAGGGTTTTGTTTGGTTCGAGAAGTCACACCATACTGGTTCCCGTAAGAGTAGGTACCGTACGTGAAATAAGATCCCTGGGAATGCAGAACTTGTTGTCTTCGAGAACTATGATGTCCGGGGGCATGGGACCTCAGATACTCTTCAAGGTTCTTCAGGGTAGCTTTTGGGGAGTTGGCGAATCCTACGGGCTTCCAGTTCGCTTGGGGCTTCAGGTATCTGGGTAAGGTGAGCTTGAAAGACTGCGGTGGCATCGGGTTCATCGATGGCCCAGGCCACGACATCTCGCCCCAGAAGGCAGCTTCCACATTGAAGCTGATGCCTCTCCAAGAAAGCATCTTCACAAGTACACAAATGCCCTCTGCCAAACTGTTCCGGTAACTGACTATCCCCTTTACACTCTCGCAACAACCCATAAAAGCTCAACTCCTCCTGAAGGGCCTGATACACCCACCGAGCAAGCTCCGAAGTGTACCTTTCCGCCTTCTTCACCTCCACCCCTTCATTTCTAGCATGGGAATATGACGGAGGACACATACAACGCTTATGCATCACTTCAGACAGGCTTTTGTGCGAAGTCACCAGTCGCCACCCTTTCTGAATCAGCTGGCCCTGAACATTCGCGAAACCTACGCTGCAACCCTTGGTCACGGCCACACGGTAACCCATGTCATGAAGAATCTCCTGCGTTACAGGGAGCCAGGCCTCACTTCGTTCACTCAGCTCCAACATACAATGTATCCCCAAGTGGGTACACACCTTCATGACTTCTCTAACATGGTGATACATCTGAATGGCATGTTCTCGTTTCTGTTTGAGCTCCTGAGCTTGTCGGGGAGTTCTTTGGTTAGCACGTTGCAGGGGGGAAAACGCACTATCCGGGGGAGACAGCCAAACATGTTCTGGGTTCAACACCCTGATTTGCTCCAACAACAGCGGCAGGCCATGTGTCGTGGCAAGATCGGCACCGTTCCAAGTCGATGCTATAGCCGCACTCTCATGTTTTCCGGACCTCTGCTGAAATGTTTTTGTCAACGCACTGTCATGATCGCAGTTGCACTCCAACAGCTCCAGTCTCTCAAACCCCGTCAACTCCTGAAAGGCCTGGGGAAGAGTGCGCCAGGACTTGTATTCTAAGGCTGCGGCGGCTGTAGAAGTCAAAAACCGGCGGTTGTCATCCTCGACGCCGCCTGCAAGCCCGTGATCTCGGCCATCATCTACTTGTCGGCATTCGAAGTCACCTCGCGGGGACGCTCTGCACGTAGTTGATCCACCTCTTCCTTGAGGTCCTGGAGCGCCGTCGTCGTCTTCATGATCAACTCGTCGCGGGGATCGACAGCTGGAGGTGCCTGCGCTGCCGTGCTGCTGGATACCGAGCTTGATGCCGTCGCCTTGTAGCCACGAGCCTTGGGGCGCGGCGGCGTTGTCGCTGAGCTGCTCGTTGGGTTCTTGGGGCCGCCGTCCTCTCGGCCTTGCTCAACCAGCAGACGAAGCGCTCGAGGCGTGTGCTGCTGAGGTCTCCTGGAAGCTGAGCTGGGAATGTTTCCCAAACCCCATTGCGTCCGCTCCATGAACAGGGCATTCCTGAAGAATCTTGTTGCTGGCTTTGCGTTGCATGGCCGCGATGGTGTCCATGTCCGTCACCTCGATGTGCAGCTCGTTCTCCAAGTACTCGGGCAAGGTGCTTTTCTTGCGGCTGCTCTTGCTGAGCTGCGCCATTTGGGTCTCCAAGGGCGTCTTGTGGGCCACTGCCGTCGCCAAAGCCGGGGTCTCCTCGGTGATCTCCTGGATGCGCTGCTTGATTTCCATGCGAGTCCAGTTCTCTTGACTCTCCTCGCCCAAGGCCCGGAGGTGCAAGACGAGCTCCGGACGAGACAAACGGTCCATGCTGCGCAACGGAGAGAGGGGCAATTTGGTCACAGACGTGAGCTTCTGAGCCTGGTAAGCTGTCACCGGGACGTGCGCCTGCATGTTCTATGCGGGTGCTTCATGCATGTCATTCGCAGTCACTTCATCCGTGATCACTGCTGGCTCAACATCTGGATCTCTCACCACTGGTGTCATGTCAAAACGAACTTGTCTAGCTAATCTATCAACAACAAATGGTTCAGAAGTTCCACTCCTACTCTGTCCTGAATCTCTACAAGGTACTTCCCTTTTCTCGGCAGTCTCGAGATCCGGGAGGAGCTGTCCCTAAATTGGACGTGAGACAAAACTTCTAAGGCTCGGGACCCGCATCTTCGCATCATGGGCCTCATGTAAAAGGTCTTCTACCAGCGACAACAGCTGATGGCCTGTGGGGGACCTGCGAAGTGGAATGATCTTGCGGTCGTTGATCGCGGTCAGCACAAGGAGGTCCTCGCGGAAGTCCACGATCGCCCCCAATGACCTCAGCGCGTCGATGCTGAGGAGGATGGTGGGGCCCACGCCTTCATTGAAGGCGTGTGTCTGGACCTAGCCTGGCCGCAGCCTGAACACCAGCTTTGCCATTTGCAGGTGCTGATGCACCGGCCTTCTGTGCTATTCCCGAAGCCGAAGAGGGGCTGGTTGTTCTTGTCGATCTCCGCCAGCCGCGGATTGCCATGGTGCTCTTGGTTCTTCGGAGCAATGCCTCAACAGCATGCATGCTGCCAAGTGTCTTTGTAGCTCCCCCATCAATGATCGCGTAGCCCTCTTCGATGGCCTGGGTGGTGGTAGGAAACACAGTAAGAGCGCTCTCACTGTTTTCTGCAAAGCACACGAAGGGTGCATGCTGTAGTTCATTTCCATCGGCCCCGTTGGTGTGCATGGCCTCGCTCTTTTTGTTCGGACAGTTCGCTACGCGGTGTCCTTTGACACCACATCCCAAACAGATCATGTTGGCGTCATTGGGGACGCCTCCGCTGCCGCTGCTGGTAGTCGCCGACGAGGATTTGTAGGCACTTTCGGATGCCCGAGGACCACCGTTGCCACTACCCCTGTAGTATTGCCGATTCATTTCTACGGAATGTTGGCGCATCCGAGCTTCCTTGAGTGTGCGGCGTGCTTGTCCAAGCACTGGCCTGTTGGGCCTCGTCCTCGGCCTCCGCCAACATCGCGGCCCCCTCGTCATTGAGGTGTTCATTCACAAACTCCTCGCCGTCCTCTTGGGCCTCGGCCTCGCAGTTCTCGTAGGCGTCCTCCGTGCTCACGAAGGCATGCGAACGTCGTCCTTGGTCCTTCCGGCGCAACTCGGTCTCGGGGAATTGGTTCCTTAGCTCCTGCGCCACCTTGGCCGGGGATTAGTTACCGCCAAGAGCGGTTGTGATGATGTTCCGCTCCAGTTTTTTTGGGATCCTCAGTCACTGTAGGACCAGCCGCTGTTCCAACTCCTAGCTGACGGGGCTCCCTGTCCCCAGGTTGTCCGCGAAGTAGTCGTGCCGCCATCTTGGCCGTCATTTTCTGTCGGATCGTCAGGCCGATCGTCTTGATCATCGCCATGCCCGTCAGTGTTCTGACGGCTCCAGGCAGGGGTGCTGTCGAAGGTTCATGGATCGCTGCTCCGTCGTCCTCGGTTGTAAATGCCAGCTCCACCCACTGTCTTTGTAGTGTGGCTGCACCCGTTTGAGCGCCTGACTCACTCTCAAAAAGGCTTCACTCTTCCGAGTGATGTACTCACTCATAGACTTCTCTGATCTCCTTCTTGTACTTCCCCAAGAGATCTGTCACTTCATTAACCTGTGGCTTGCCGAGCGTGCGACTCAGGTAGTCCAAGAGAACTTTGACACCCCCGACGAACGCCACCTCCTCCGCGGGCTTGCCTGCGACAAGTCGGCGGGCTGCGCCTGTGAGCTCGGCCATGCGTCTGGGGGCCGCGGTGTAGCGCTTGTTGTACACCAGCCCTTGTTCCCATAGCCGAGCTGCCTCCTCGTAGGCCACGAACGATGCTGCTTCCCCGTTCCACGAGGGGACACCATCCTTGGACCGGCTCGCTGCAGTACCGTTCTCGGACTCACCGCTCATGTTTCTCAACGATGCCCCAGCACCGCTGAGCCACTTTTCCCTGGATCGTTGCAAGACTGATTTCTGAGGAACCTCTTACTGAGGCTCCGCTACCATGCGAGCGGTAGCTTGCAGAAGCCGTCTAGCCCGAGCTTGTAGAGGATCGCTTTGCCGACTGCAGAGTAGGCAGTAACAATGGGCGGCAGTGTATGGCTCCTAATTAACTGCGTGCCTGCAGGTCGCGGCACTTTTGATCCTTCGTAGCTGCAGCCATTCGTCTGTCGATGACCAGCACTGCCTGCGTGAGAGACAGATAGGTGAAACTTGCAAACCCTACACCCGCACCCCTTACACCCTAAACCCTAAACCCCCTCACTCCCTAAACCTCGAACCCCTTATGCCCTAGACCCTAAACCCTAAATCAAACCTGCCAGCAGGTCAAACACCACATCCGGAGCCGGGCTATGGACAGACGCTCTACCTCTGGGCGAAGCTGACGCGCTATCCCATGACGAACACTGCCAAGCTCTTCTTAGTCGCTCGGTGTAGAGTTCAGCGTCCACGGATTGTTGTTGCGTTCGGGCTAAGGGTCGTCGGCTCTTGGTGATTGCCCAGAATGTGTCGGAGGCATGTGTTCGCTCGTTGACCTAATCGATGCCGCCGCCGCCGCCGCCACCACCAC